CCAAATATTAATAACATCTAACAACACTTTCATTTGACCTTCCCAAAATTGAATCCTAGCTACAGAAAACATAAAAATTTCAGGCTATCTTTCACCAAAAACTATCTTTGTGATTTGACCCCTGAAAAGCACTATCTCCCCCCCCCCCCCCCGCCCAATAAACCTCCTGGCAGCATGGATGCATTAGTGGATAAAACTGAGGTTTTTACCTCATGGTAAATTACTGTCCTGAGAAACTGAGAAAAAGCTTATTCGACCTTTTCCTTCGGGGATAATGAACAGAAAGGTGTTTTTATAGTTTCATATTATAGAAAACAAAGTCTTTTTGACCTCTAAATCAGTTGTTGAGAACCTGTTGTGTGCTAAGAGTTGGGTATATAAAAAAAGAATAAAACACAATCCCTCACCACCAGATTAGCCCAGCGGAGTGACCAGTACGGAGTTATAGACAATGTAGGCTGGGGGTTGGAGGTGAGGGGGATAATGTACAGTGACGAAGACAGGCTCAGGGCATAGATTATTATTCATGGGGGCCCTGAGGAAAGGGCCTGAAAGCCGGGGAAGGGGAGTGAAGTACATGCTTAGGAAGGCTTCCAGGAGGAGGTGACCTGAGAGCTAAATGCTACAGATTAAAGGAGGAAAAAGACATTCTAAGCAGAGGCTAAGGGTAAGAAAGAGCCTAGGGTGTTGTAATAGAAACTGGAAGCTAGGGAAGCAAGGTTCCCAATGACTTAGGTGAAACAGCCCACCTTTTTCTAGTAGTCATCTATCCAATCCTAACCAATCAAATGCTTCAGCACAGCACAGCACACTATCCACACTGAAACCCTGATGAATTATTACTTCATTAGAATTTCTTCCCCAACGACCGTTCTCTTGTTGAACTTGTGGCCAGTCGGCACTAATATACCTCTCTCCTCCACAAAACACACGGGATGGCTGCTCAGACATGGCTGCAGAAGTAAATTTAAGCTCTCCTGACAAGTTGAAAACTGTCTCAGTCTCTGGAGCTGTAATTGGTGTGTACAGCTAATTCTCTCTTGTCAAAGGGCGGATTATTCCATTTTCAGATTTTCAAGGCGTTTACTTATTTTACCAGCTTTCCCTGGGCAACGTCAGGACTGGCAAATCAATTAACTTCTCTAAGCCTCAACTTTCCTTACTTGTAAAGTGTGGGCACAACAGTACCTATCTCAGAGGGTTGTCGTAAGGATGAAAGGAGTTATTAAATGTAAAACACTCAAAAACAGGGCCTAGTACACAGTGAGTGCTTGATGTTAGCTGGTATCACTAAGTAATTACTATTACTTTTTTTTTTTTTAATTAACCATCTTGCCACTAGTACAGAGACTCGTGAGGCAAGTATGTAAAAAATTCAAGGAGTGTAAGTTACAACTTTATGACCAAATGCAGGCCTTTCTTGCTTTTCAATGATTACTACTCAGTTTTTTTCTGGAGTCTTGGGAGATATCATCAATCTTCCTCCTGACTAGCGTTCCTGCCAGGACTCAAATTCCTTCTCATTCTTTTTCATTGTTCTAGGCTGCTAGGCTGTTTCACTACTATTTGAAACAGCTAGGCTGTTTCAATACTATTGCTTATTACCTAAGCAATATTAACAAACAGATATCCCGAAGCAATTTCTGAACTGTGCCTGGCAAAAGCTTTAATTATATCCTACTCATGATTCAGACCCTGAAAACATGTAGCCATCTGCCCATCTATATCACTGTCATTAAACTATGAGTGCAAGGAATGCCCTGAATGTCTAAGGACATAGAACTTTTAGTAAGCAATTTTCACTTTTAAAAACACAGTTCTATTTCCAAGGCCTTCCATCAACAATGACAGAGCCACTGCTCCTAAACCACAAGGAGAAGGCGCCTTTCTTAGTAAAGGGTATGAAAAGCACTTATTTGTCAAGTTCTTTAAGAAGTTTATCTAGTAGAGAAATTTCTTCAGAAATCACAGCCTTGAGTCTTCTGGCAGAGAACTGATTGAGTGGTATCTTTTAAAAATTCTAAGAGAATTTCAAAATATTAAATCTTAATCTAAATAAAGGAGCAGGGATATTCCATTTGATTTCGTTTTATATCAGTGAGGATGTTTGAGTCCTTTATGCTCTTTATTATTCTATTGCTTAAAAGGGTAAAGATTATACCTACACTGCAAGAACTCTGTTTTTAAGAGAGTACTAGTGGGAACCAAGAGTGCTCCAGGGACAAAATTGACACTGATAACTGGTGGGCCTACAAAGCACTCTTATCTATGCACTTTGGACAAAAGTGCAAAGCTTTCAGCCATTGAGCAACGTTTGCCAGCCAACCCAAAGATGTTAGGTACAAAGTATGCAAATAAGCATCTCCAACTCAAAAACCCTGCAATTTTCTTCAGGCCTACCTAGTGCTTCATAGTTTTTAAAATGCTTTCCCTCACATTCTTAATTTAAAATGAGAAGTTAACTGACTTATCACAGAACTAAAACAGCAAAGATGATACAACTATGATCTTACTGGTTACTGTACCACTACTGTACACTGCCTTTTTAAAGGGTCTCCTGATACTCTTTCAGTTATTCCACTATAAATTAAATAATCAGAATTAAATGAGAACAGATATCTATAAAATACATTAGCATATTTTCCTTTCTTCACTGTCCTGTGACTTTGTCTGATTTCATGTTACTATGTTTTTACAGCACAATAAGGAAAGGTTAAATGTTTAGTGCTTTCTGTATAAAAAATGCAGCTATATGAAACACTTGAACTTAGTTAATTTAAATGACTCAAGTATGAAAATTAAGTATTTCATAGGATAAATACCCAGTTCTTCAGAATACCAATTGCCAAGGTTTCACTGTATTAGAATGAGCTGTTAAAAAAAAAAAAAAGAAAAAGAAACTTCAACCAGTTGAGTTTATTTTTTATAAATGTTTTCCAACTTTACCATTTGGCTTTAGGTAAAGATCACATCCACAGTGGCAGGAAAGGAGGTTATTACTTTCTTGTTGTCTGAACAGTCATAGCCAGGCCTGGCACCTGTTTTTGTCACTCAATCATGCATCATAGTTAAACCTGAACACCTCAACTGCAGGTGCTCACATATTTTAAGACTTTTTTGGTACACATTTTGCACCACTCTGGTTCCCCTATGTTTAGGTTTTTTTTTTTTTTTTTTATGTTTAGGTTTTGAACTAAGATACAATGCTAAAATGTTGTATTTGTCTCTGTTGCATTAATTTACAAATCAAAGTTTAAAGTTAAAATAATTCATTTGAAAGGCATGCCAGCCAACATTGTAAGTGCTGAGATAGAACAGCAGTAGGTATAGTCTCTGCTCTCATGGAATTCACATTCTAATGGGGAAAAGACACAAAAGAATCAGGCTGTCAAAGTGAAAGAATGACTAAAAGGACTGAGCCACAGGGATTTTCACCAAGCACTTTGTAAGTAGAGCTGAGGGCACTCAGTCAAATCCAGAGAACAAGAGATTTACAATGGTGAAACAGACTGTCACTTGGTTATAATTTTAGGCACTGCTTTCTGTTCTCCAAATTTGCTGCATAAATGATAGTGAAGTCGCTCAGTCGTGTCTGACCCTTCGCGACCCCATGGCCTGTGGCCTACCAGGCTTCTCCGTCCATGGGATAAGCCCTCCCTAACTCTGGCCCACTAGATAGGCTGCCTTAAAGAGCACAGCTTGACAGTGGGCCAAGAAGGAACCAAATCAGGGAGAGAAGAAAGTGAAAGCCTGGGCAAACTTGTACACGGTTTGGAAAGGACAAAGTGTCCCGCTGGCTTAGAGGCTCCCTGCCCGCATTCAAACAAAAAGGTCAAGACACGTCCAAGGGGTCAAGGCTTCGCTCTTTGGAGTTAACATCTGATTGCGGTGGTTTTGGAGACTCGGTTCCCGATTAGGGAGTAATTAAGGGCACTGTCCCAAATCGGCTTGAGTGAATTAAATAGCCTGGCTTAGGTCGCTCCACTAGGAAGGGTTTACTGACTCGTTTCATGCTCTGCAACCTTTTCTCTGCAACACATCACACAGTTTGAGATAACATATTTGTAATTTTTTTTGAGTGGCACCGACCCCTCCCTCGGGCTTGTTTGTTCACTGCAGTATCTATCTAGCACAGGTCTAGTGCCTGGCTCTGTGAAACTGGGATGAAGAAATATTCACTAGATCAAAAAGCAGAGCGAGTGGGAGGGGAAGAAAGGCAACTTTCCCACAGCCAGACCTCCTGAGGGATAAACGGCGGGAGCGGGGAGTCACTACACCGGGACTCTTACATCCAAGGGCCAAACGGCTGGGGGAGGGGTCACTGGTGACTCAGGAGGCGACTGGCGGGAGGATGCCGCGAGCCAAGGTCACAGGATGCAAAGAAGAAAGCCGGGCCCGAAAACCACAGCCCGAGAATCTTCCTTCGTTGAGCGTCCTTGCCCCGACACACAAACAGCACTCAGCCGCAGTCCGTCTAAGTCTGCAGCGGCCCAGGGAGACCACTACCTGGGAGCCCCGCCGCCCCCCTAGAGCGGCCGGGTCAAGGGCACACGCGCCCCTGGCGCCGCAGCCAATAGGCGCGAGGCAGTGCCGGCGCCGCAGCCAATCCGCGCGAGGCCTGCTCCGCGCCGCAGCCCCGGGGCTCACCCCTCGCTCCCACCCCCCACCGAGCCGAAACTGTGAGTCTGGATCCCACCCCCGCCCCCAACCTCGAATGGAGTCCGGCTGCCGTAGAGGGACATACTTCCTAACCCAGGGGAACGCGTTGGCACGCTCTCCGACAGTCCTATGGACATGCGAGCAGTGGGATGTAGGACCCAAAGGGTCATTGTGAGATGTGGACGCTCAGTCATCAGCCCCCTGCGAATCCGAGAGGGGAGCGGAGAAAGTTGGTGTGTGAGGGTGCCCGCGTGTGCCTTCAAGGCGGGTTTAGAGGTCCTGGGGCGCCGGCAGCTCGGCTGGGCAGGCCTGTGGCCCCGGCTCCTTTTCCTCCTGCTTACCTGGCTCTGGTAGAAGCCGCGGCAGCGAGGCCTGGGTGGAAAGCCGCGGCGACTCCGGACAGGACGCGGCCAGAGTGCAGCAGGGCCATGGTGGGCGGCAGGCGGGCAGTGGGTAGCTGGAGGACTGAGCGGAGATGCCAGCGGGCGCGGACCCAGAGGCGCGAGGTCCTGCTGAAGGTAAGGGCGGCGACTTCCCCGGGAGAGGCTAGAGTGGCCTCCCGCCGGGCCCCGAGCCGCGTCACAGCGCACCCTGGCGGTCGGAGCGGAACGGCTCGATTTCTGTGCAGTCTTGGGTGGCGGGTCCCGGGTTGGCGCCACGTGGTCCCGGAAAACAGTGACAGCACAGTTTATCGCAGTTTACAGCGCTCGACACTTCTTTCATTTAACGACGACGGACCCGACCGAAGGGGTACCTGCTTATTATGCCACTTTAAAAGATGGGAAAAGGTAGGCTGACGTAGGTGAAGTAATTTGCCTAAGACTATAGAGCCAGTTACCTAAGTGGCCGTTCCTAAATCTTCAACCGGATGTTTCCGTAAATGCAGATCACCTCATCTTGTTCCTGAGCGGTTTCTAATCTCTGTTATGGAGAAGATAACATGCGTTATCTCCTGGGACTCTTCTGAGGATTAGGCGAGATTAGCCGATTAGGTCTAAAAACAGGGTCTGATTTAGTAAACTAGAAACAACTGGTGGTCATTAATGATAACCTTGTTTGTCAAATCCTTGCACTTGTGTGTGGAAGGGAAATAATCATTCTTAAAGGAAAAAGCAAATAAATTTGAGACTCCAGACGTGGAAAGATTCAAACAAGTCCATTCTAAACAGTGGCTGTTTCTCTTTTTTTGGGCCATGCTGCTCAGTTTATGGGATCTTGGTGGTTCCCAGTCATTGGTTCCCCCATCAGGGATTGAACCCTGGCCCTTGGCAGTGAAATCACAGAGTCCTAACCACTGGACCGCCAGGTAATTCCCAATGGCTGTTTCTGTGACCCCCTTCTCTAAAACCCAAGTAGAACTGTGTCTCTTGCCGACTTAGTTAATCTTCTCTGGCATGACTGTGTAAATGAGTAAGTCTAGATGCCTACCTAGTGTCACATTCTAGGCTCTTCCTAGGGCAGCCCCAACTTACTGTCTCAGACTCATCTGCTCACTCTTTGACCTCAGCCTTTGCCCTCACAGGCCATGATTTCCATTATCGTAACAACTGCCGTAACAAATTACTACAAACTGGATGGTTTAAAGCAACAGAAGCGTATTCTTTCACAGTTTTAAGTGGCTAGAATTCCAAAATCAAGACAAGGCTCATTCCTTCTGGAGTCCCTGAGCTGGAATCTGTTCCATGCCTTTCTCCTAGCTTCTGGCAGTTGCCAGCATTCCTTGCTAGTTCCTTGGCTTACTGACCAGATTGCTCTAACCCCTGTCTCCATCTTCATGTGGTGTTCTCTCCTTGTGTGTCTCTTCAATTCTTACACAGATGCCAGTTATATGGGGTTAGGGACCACTGTAAGGGCTTCACATTAATAGCTTGATTACATCTGCAGAGACCTCCTTTGCTAGTAAATCACATTCCCAGGTATGTGGGTTGGAATTTCAAGCTACCTGTTTGCAGGATACGTTTCAACGCATAACAATCATTGTCCCCGGATCCTAGCAATTATACTTCCCGGGATAGATCCTAGAGACCTTGTGTATGTTTAAGGATGTCAATGAAATGTTATTGGCAACAACCTAGTTGCCTATCAACAGAAAATTAAACACATGTGCTGTTATAGTCACGCAGTGAAGAATTACAGACTGCTGACCTGAATGAGCTCAGTTTATAGGTATCCACACGTATGAACTCAAGAACATAAAAAAGCAAGTTACAGAACTATAAGTGTAATATGGAGCTGTTTAGATAAAATTTTATTTTATTTATTATTTTTAAAGAAATGATCGTATTTACTTATTTTTTTATTGCTTTGGCTGTGCCCTGCAGCATGCAGGATCTTAGTTCCCCAACCAGGGGTCCAATCCATAGCTCCTGTGTTGGAAGACTGAGTCTTAAGCCCTGACTCAGTCTTCTTAACCACTGGACTGCCCGGGAAGTCCCTAGATAAAATTTGAAAATACACAAAACCATAGCATACATTTACTCATAAACATATGTAAATGTTTGAAAGAATGCACCCCAGATACAGTTGAGTTCAGGATCAGGAGGGCACAAGAGGGTGTTTGCCCTTGTGGAGAGAATAAGACAACTTTGTCATATTTGCTGCATAAAAAATTACAGGAAATATTACCAATTATCACCATTCTGGGTGTGGAACTCTGTAATAAATACATTTAACTTTCTCATAAGAAAGCAAATTTGAGCTACTGGTATGAAAGGTGAATTGGAAAGGACAGTTGGTAGGGGTGGGGTTGTTATTTAGTCACCGAGTCATGTCCAGCTCTTTGTGATCCCATGGACTGTAGCCCACCAGACTCTTCTGTCCATGGGATTCTCTAGGCAAGAATACTGGAGTGGGTTGCCATTTCCTTCTCCAGGGGATCTTCCAGAGCTATGAACCTGTCTCTTCTCCATTGGCAGGTGGATTCTTTACCACTGAGCCACCAGGAAAGTCCAAGGAATAGGGAGGCAAGGTCAAAAGAATGCTGACAATAAACCAGGCAAGAAATTGTTGATTGTCTGAGTTCAGGTAGAAGTAGCAATGATGGAGAAAAGGTTACAGATCTGGACATATCAAGGAGGAAGAATCAAAAGTGTTTGGTGATTAAAATGCAGGTAGAAGTAGAAAAGGAGTCTGAAATAATTTCCAGTGTATCAGTTAAAATTAGGATTCTCTTCATGTAATAGAGACCCAAAATAATAGGCTTAATCAAGATAAAATGTATTTCTCTAACTTAAAAATCTGGAGATAGGCAGTCCAGGGCCAGTATGGCATTTCTGCCCCACACAGCCCTCAGCAACCCAGCTTGTGCCTCCACCCTCTGTAAGGTGTGGCCCTTACCCAGTGGTCCAAGGAGGCAGTCACAGCTTTAGCCACCATGTTTCCATTCCAAGCAGGAATCTAAAGGAAGAGACACACACACAAATCAAGTACAAAGGATACACAGTATTGCCTTTTTTTTTTTTTTTTTAGCAGGTGGTTTTCGTGATCTTAGTTCCCTGACCCCAGCTCTTGGCAGTGAAAGCATGGAGTCCTAACCACTGGAATGCCAGGGAATTCTCAACCAGTTGCCTTTTAAGGAAGCTATAATAGGACGAGGCAGCATGTGGCAAAGATGAGTTGGAGAGAGAGCCGGGGAGGGCCCAGGAGGGAGGACTCAATGCCAGCTGTGGAAATCAGGGAAGCCTTCATGGAGGAGATGACATTTGATCTGAACTTTGTAGGATGTATGATGGTTTACATGTTGGGGAGGAAGGAAGGAGAAAACATGGCCAGTGCCCCACATCACTGTCTAACTTGTCCCTGCTGCCCCCACTGGTTCCTGTCTTTCTTCTCAACATCATCAGGGTGGCTCTCCTCCTTCTGCCTCTTATCTTCAGAAGACAGTGGCTAGTTGGCTTCCCTCTTCTGACTGATCACCTCTTCCGGCCATTTCCTGGTTTGTTGTTTTTTTTTTCACCCTCTTACCTCTCACTCCCAACCCTACTATTAATGACCTGGACTCCCGAATCCTGCATTTCAGATTTTGGTCCTCATCTGCTAATTAGCTGGGAAAGATCGAAGGCAGGAGGAGAAGGGATGACAGAGGATGAGTTGGTTGAATGGCATACTAACTCGATGGACATGAGTTTGAACAAGCTCTGGGAGTTGGTGATGACAGGGAAGCCTGGTGTGCTGCAGTTCATGGGGTAGCAAAGATTTGGACACGACTGAGTGACTGAACTGAACTGACTGAATTCTTTTATCCATCTATCTGCCATTGCAATCAGAGAGCCTCTGGCAGCTTCCTCTGCCTTCAAGTCAACCATGTATCTGTACTTTATTTATATTCTCTTTATTTTACATATAAACTTCCAAGTAAGCACTCATATATATATATATGTCAAGTTAATCAGTTTTTTTTTTTTTTTTTTTTTGGCTATGCTGTGTGGCTTTGGGATCTTAGTTCCCTGACCAGGGATTGAACCTGGGCCCTTGGCAGTAAAAACATGGAGTCCTAACCATTGGACTGCCAGGGAGGTTACCATTCCCTTTAAATCAGTTTTAACAAACCACATGTAAGCCCTTGGTCCAGGCAGTCCGGGTGATGTTTGGGTTCAGGCATTCACAGGCTCTGGATTCCAGCAGTTGGAAATGACTATTGATAATATCATGCCCTGTTACATGACGTCTGGAGCCTTTCTCCCATTTTCTGGTCACCCTCAGGCAGGCTCAGAGGAAGTGTTTCCATGAACTTTTCTGAGCTCAGAAAAGTCAGCCCCTTGGGCTTCAGGTAGATCCAAATGTTTATTGGATTCTCCTGGGTGAAAGGGGGCAGGAATGTCTAATAGTGAGGAGATCCTGAGTCAAAGAAATTCTTCACCATACTCAACCCTCATCATTGTTTGTATTATTATTTAAAAAATTACTCTTACCACACAGCCAGGAATTCTGTTGGAGTTCCAGCTGCCTGGAACTGAGCTGTCTATAGTCATGAGAGAGCAACAAAGACAAAACTTTGCTGGCAAATCAATAACTCCTCTCAACCCAAAGGCCCACACTCTCCATCCCAATGCAGGTGAAGTTGTAGATCATAGATATCTAGAAACTGAAAGGGCTTTCAGAGCTTCTTCAGGACAGTGCTTCTCACGCTGCGATGTGCACTGGAACCACCCAAGGGTCTTGTGACAATGCAGGCTCTGATTCAGCAGGTCTTAATGGGGCCTGTAATTCTGCTTTTCTTATAAGCTCCCTGGCTAGGCCAGTGCTGCTGGCCAGTGGACCGTGTGTGGAGCAGCATAAATCTAGACCATGCCATGCAGCCCTTTATAGATGTCAATGGAAGCCTGTGTCCTAAACTCCAGACTTCCCACTGTATATATGGAGAATCTGAGGTCAAAGGAACGAAGTTTTGCCTAAGGTCACCTGGCCAACTGGGGCTTGGGACTGGGAACAAAAGCCCAGATGAAGGATAGATTCCTTTTACCAATTTCAGCACCAGCTGCAGATGACTGTGAGGATCCCCTGATCTCTTCCTGACCTGGAGTCATCTCCTTGGTGGCCTGTCCAGGGACCATCTCCAGGCTTCTGCTCCAGGCCTAGGCTGTGGATCGGTGCTACGGGTCAGCCTCAGGCAGGAAGAAAAGGTATAGTCTCCTCCAGGCCAGAGGACTGAGGATCCTTAAGGAAAGGGAGACCTTTGCACAGACTTGTTCTTTAAGGGGAGCGCTTTCACCATCACCACCTGGGGGAATGACGGAAGCAGGACTGTTCAGCAAGAACAAAGGCTCTGAAGCTATAATGGCCCTGAAGAGTGATCCTGAACTGGGGTGAGGGGTCTGCCCTTTATACCTGTGCGTTGATCTGCCCCATCCCTTGTCCTGCTGCATGACCTTGCCTGGCAAGTGAGTCCTGCTTCAGTGGAAAGGGAGCAGGGGATCTGAGCAGCCGCTCCCAGTGGCTGCCACGTGGATGTTTATATAAATTGTGTAAGGAGAGAGTACTTATGGGGGGCCCACTTGTATGTGGGGGATGTGTGTGTGTGCGCATGCGCACGTGTGTATATGGTGGCTGTATAGGAACGGGTCCTCTTTGGAATCTTCGGAGAGTGTTCATGTGCACTGAGGATGACTGCATTTGAGTGTGACCTTCTGTCATTCATTTGTGTGTACGCGTGGAAGTCAGCGAGCAGTGTGTGGTTCTGTGCCGACGTCTGGGTGTGCCCCATTTGTGTGTGGGTGTGGGAGTGGTGACAGGTGGACATGTACTGGCTTCCAGACCCATTCAACGAGAAACCCTGTGGCCTTCTGTTCCGAGGAGAACAGAGGAGGCCCCTGAGCCAGGGCAGGGGGTGCTGGGCTGTCTTTGTGGCCGTGGGTGGGGAGGGGATGGTACTCCTGAAGGCCACCTCATCTGAAGAAGCAGCCCTTTCTCTGGATGGACCGGGGCCTTCTGTATCCCCTCAACCCTTGTCCTCCACACCCAGCCTGCTCCAGGAAAAGGTGCAGCCCTGGAAGAAGAGCTTGGGGGGAGGCCTGGGTGCAGGCACTCTTGCCAGAAGGAGGCTGGAGGAGGAGTTTCTGGTGATTCTGCCCCTCCTCAGGGTTGGGGGGCACCTCCAGAGCCCCCACAGAATGTACTGGGGCATTTGGCTGGTGGACCATCTGGAAACCTCTCCCCCTGGCTCACAAAATGTCTCCAAACACTTTTCTGTGCATGTGAAGTCACTCTGGAGAAGCACACCTCCTGTTTTTACCTGATAACTATAAGGATTTCAATAAATGATTTTTGAAAACCCTTCATTAAAGGTGTCCAACTGTGGCTTCCTGCGTGCGGCCCTTGGGTGGGTCTTGGTTTCCCTTTGCTCTGCTTCACACTCAAGACGCTTCACCTAAAGGACCCCAGCTCCCCTGTCAGCTGGAATCACGACTAGCTCTGTGTTCTGGACCAGCCCTGGGCTCATGCTGGTCACTTATGACCAGAGGGAGCAGCACATGTGGTGTCGCGTGTCCTGTGTATGCCCGTCTGTGCTGGGGCTGTGGGGTGGCTGTACCTGCCTGTCATGTGGTGGTTCTAGGAGCCCAGAGTCAGGGGGGCTGCTTCTGAATGGGGAACCAGGAGGGGTGACATGGAGAAGGTGACTCACCCAGGGCCACACAGAGCACCTTTAATAGGGCCTAGCCTGTCACATAGCTGGCCTGTTGTTTTTCCCAAACAGTTCTGTCCCTCTGGCTGCCTCTGCTGGATCCACCCTGCCCTGCCCGTGGGGGTGAGGACCGGGATTCAGGTTGAGACGTGAAGGCCTGACTCTATTCCATCCACAGATCCCAAATACACCCTCCCATCAAGACCTGACATGCTCAATGTTGAGTCATTTCTGATTTCACCCATTTCCAGAAATCCAAGTCATCCTTGATCCAGCTCTCTATCACCTCCCACACTCCCCAGTTGACCCCCAGAATATACTAATGAACAGCTACTAAAACGTTTATTCCCTCATTTATTCCTCACAATAAGTTGGGAGGAAGTTGGAGCCCAAAGCTTATAGCAAGGGAGGGGCTGAGTTGGGAATCAGACCCAGCTCTCATTATCGCAGGAAGTAGAAGGCACCTGCCTCTCATCCACGTGGTCACATCATAGCCCTCTCTTGGGTCACCCCAGAAGCCCCTCACTAGACTGTTGGACTCTGGTCTTGCCCGTTAGAGCATTCTCCTTAGGACAGCCAGCAGTATCTTTCTAAAACATATCATCACCCTAGGGGGACAATGCAAAAAAGGGAAATTATAAAGGAAGATGCAGCATCTGCCATAAGACTGAGCATTTTGAAGGGCAGAACTGATTTGGGGTTCCCTACGTGTGGTGATAAATGTAAATACAGATCCTGCTGCCAGAGAGGTGCAGAACAGAGACATCCAACCTGTGATGTCAAGTAAAACCACCTGGATTTTCCAAAGAAGATATACAGATGGCCAATAGGCACATGAGAAAGGGCCTAACATCACTAGTCATCAGTTCAGTTCAGTCCCTCAGTCATGTCCAACTCTTTGTGACCCCATGGACTGCAGCACACCAGGCCTCCCTGTCCATCACCAACTCCCAGAGATTGCTCAAACTCATGTCCATCAAGCTGGTGATGCCACCCAACCATCTCATCCTCTGTTGTCCCCTTCTCCTCCTGCCCTCAATCTTTCCCAGCATCAGGGTCTTTTCTAATGAGTCAGTTCTTTGCATCAAGTGGCCAGTGTATTGGAGCTTCAAATCATCAGAGAAATGCAAACCAAAACCACGATGAGATATCACCTCACACCTGTCGGAATGACTATTATTAAAAAGTCTACAAATAACAAGTGTTGGTGAAGATGTGGAGAAAAGGAAACCCTAGCACACTATTGGTGGGGTTGCAAATTGGTGCAGCCATTATGGAAAGCAGAATAGAGGTTCCTCAAAAAAACTAAAACTTTAATATATGATCCACCAATTCCACTGTTGGTATATATCTGAAGAAAACAAAAGCACTAATCTGAAAAGAGATGCACCCCAATGTTCATAGCAACATTATTGACAGTAGCTCAGATATGGAAGGATCCTAAGTGCCCATCAACTGATGAGTGAATAAAGAAGATATAATGAATATATATATATATATATATATATATATATATATAGAGAGAGAGAGAGAGAGAGAGAGAGAGACTTGGACATGACTGAGCACACACACACACACACACACACACATGTATATAACAGAATATTACTTAGTCATAAAAAGATGACATTCTGCCATTTGCAGCAATGTGGATGGACCTAGAGGGTATTATGCTTAAATAACTCAGAGAAAGACTAATACTCTATGTTATCACTTATATGTAGAATTTAAAACAAGCAAATGCGTATTACAAAACAGACACAGACTCACAGATATAGAGAACAAACTAGTGTTTACCAGTGAGGAGAGTGAAGGGAGAGGGGAATAGAGGCGAAAGGTAGATTAAGAGATACAAACTATCATGTATAAAATAAATAACAAGGCTATATTGTACAGCATGGGGAATAAAGCTATTGTTTTGTACTGACTTTAACTGGAGTATAACATATAAAAATACTGAATCACTATGCTGTACGCCTGAGTGAGTGAGTAATAGTTGTTCGGTCATGTCCAACTCTTTGCGACCCCATGGACTGTAGCCTGCCAGGTTTGTCCATGGACTTCTCCAGGCAAGAATACTGGAGTGGTTTGCATTTCCTTATCCATGTACACCTGAAACTAATATTAATGTTGTAAATCAACTATACTTCAATAAAAAATATGGGGAAAAAACATCTGGAGGAGGAAACACTGGCTTGAATCTGAAGAATGAGTACAAGTTTCCTAAGCAGAAAAGGAAGGATGTTACCAGGATGAAAGAACAGCACTTGTCAAGGCTGGAAGACATCAGAGAACAAGATGCAGACAGTCAGAGTCAAGGTGCTCTCAGATCGAGCGCGTGTCTCCTGCTTGCCAGGTGGATTCTCTACCACTGAGCCACCTGAGAAGCCGCTATTAAGACACAGCGACTGACACATAATAGCTAGTGTTTGCGTGCATTATTTCATATGGTCTTGATGAAAATCCTAGAGGCTTCACTCTTATTATTCATTTTATAAAATCTTAAGTCAGAAATTGAGAAAAGTCTGAGATTTTTACCTTACTTGTAAGCTTATGAGTTAGCCTGTTAGAGTTTTTATATACTTAGAGCAGACATGAGACCTCTGGGTCAGAGATAAGGAGGGTTTAGTACTCACCTGCCAGGGCACTTTTCCGCATGCTTCACGCTCCGTGGGGAAAGGTGATGAGGGCTAGAGGTTACCTGTTCATGCAGAGGGGTGCCCCATACAACAGGAACCCTCAGACTAGGAAACTGGTGATCCTTTCCAATGGTGAGAGAGATCAGTTATTCCCCTGGAATGTAAGCAGGATTCCACTAGGGAGAGAGGAGGAAAAGGCTTATCTTTACTACCTTGCCATATCTCCAAACATCTCATGAAATATGTGTCTCTAGCTTCCAAGGCTGTTTTCCATTCAAACATACCTTACATAGAAGACCCAGATCTTGCATCTAGTGAGAAATCTGGTCAGACTTGTCTCCTAACAAGGATAAGGAAATTGAAGCTTAATATATAGCAAATTATTTGAACTTGGGCTAGTGAAAGCACTAGGAAAATGAATGAATGAATGAATGAATGAGCTAGGCGAAGGTCAAGATGCAAATGGCCACCTTTATATGCTCTCCTGAAAAGAGGTATTGGGCCTTCCTTGGTAGCTCAGTTGGTAAAGAATCCGCCTGCAATGCAGGAGACCCTGGTTCGATTCCTGGGTCGGGAAGATTCCCTGGAGAAGGGATAGGCTACCCACACCAGTATTCTTGCCTTGAGAATTCCCATGGACAAAGGGGCCTGGTGGGGTTCACAGTGTCGCAGAGTCAGACATGACTGAGTAGCTAAGCATAGCGCAGGGTGGTATGTGAGTGCCTTGTGATCACAGCAGAAAACTCTTTCTCTAAACTAAGTTGAACAGAGACTTCCTTGTGGATCCGGTGTTTAAGACTCTGTGCTTCCACTGTAGGGGGCATGGGTTTGATCCCTGTTCAGGAAAGTTTATTCATTTTTGACTGTTGGATCCTTGCTGCTTTGAGGGCTGTCTCCAGTTGTCACAAGCAGGGGCTATACTCTAGTTGCAGTGGCTGCTCTTGTAGCTTGTCGTGTCTAGGCACAAGGGCTCAGGAGTCGTGGCTCACAGGCTGAGTTGCCCCATGGCATGTGGGATCGTCCTAGACCAGGGATAGAACCCATGTCCCCTGAATTACCACTGCCATTAGTGAAGTCCATTACTGTCCCCAATTTTATAAGAAAATGTGGCTCAGAGAAGCCAAGCTTCCTACATGATTGAGCTTTGGCAGATGGCAGGCCTGGCATTTGAACCCAAGTAGTCAGACTCCAGAGGCCAGTTTAATAACCATTTGCTAAACTCATTTGAAGTACCAGGCATTCTATCTGTGTGTATGTCTCTGTGTGTGTGTGTGTGTGTGTGTATATGTGCGTGTGCATGTTTGTGTGGATAAATTCTCCTCTAGTTCTCACAAGCCTATGAGAGAGGCATTATTATCATCCCTAATAAAGATAAGCGACTAAAACTCAGGTGTAAAAACTTGCCAAAAATCTTTGGGTTAATAAGTTGTATTTAAGAAATTTGAACAAAGCCCTGTATGTCTACTAAAGCTAAGCCCTGACCACTATATAATTCTGATGTTTCTGAACCTCAGTTTCCTATATGCAAGTAAATGTAAATAAAATTATACCTGAAAGTGGGGACATGGAAGCAACCTAAATGTCTATCAACAGAGGATGAATAAAGAGGATGTGGTGCATATATACAATGGAATATTACTCAGCCATAGAAAGGAATGAAATTGGGTCATTCATAGAGATGTGGATGGACCTAGGGACTGTCAAACAGAATGAAGTCAGTCAGAAAGAGAAAAACACCCCTCATATAGAGGGGTGGGGTGGGGAGGGAGATGGGAGGGAGGTTCAAGAGTGATGGGATATATGTATACCTATGGCTGATTCATGTTGAGGTTTGACAGAAAACAAAATTCTGTAAAGCAATTATCCTTCCATTAAAAAAGAAATAAAAAAACAGAAAACCCATATATTAGCACATATGTATGATATCTAGAAAAATGGTATAGATGATCTTATTTGCAAATGAGAAATAGAGACA